TGGTGGAGGGCCAGGTTAATGGCGTCGTCTACAGATCTGTTGGCTCTGTAGGCGAACTGCAGGGGGTCCAGGAGGGGGGAGGTGAAGGACTTGAGATGGGAGAGAACCAGGCGTTCAAATGACTTCATGACGACAGACGTAAGTGCTACAGGTCTGTAGTCATTGAGTCCTGTGATCCTGGGCTTCTTCGGGACGGGGACAATGATGGAGGATTTGAAGCAGGCCGGGACATGGCAGGACTGCAGAGAGGTGTTGAAAATGTCCGTGAACACAGGAGTAAGCTCACTGGCGCAGTGTCTCAGAGTGGCCGGAGACACGTGGTCCGGGCCAGGAGCTTTGCGGGGGTGCAGCCTCAAGAAGAGTTGTTTAATCTCTTTAGCGGCTATTGTTAGGCTGGGGGCAGGGCTGATGGGTGGGTCGTTAGAGTAGTGGGGGGTGGGGGAGGGAGAGGTGTCAGGGGCAGCATCAAAGCGACTGAAAAATAAGTTCAGTTCGTCAGCTAGCTTGTGGTCATCAGCACAGGGGGGGGGCTTTGGGTTTGTAGTTGGTGATCTCCCGTAGGCCCCTCCAGACAGAAGCAGTATCGTTGTTACCAAACTGCTCCTGTAGTTGTTCTCTGTGCCGGGACTTGGCTGCTTTCAGTTCTTTCCTGAACTGATATTTAGCTGCTTTGTAGCCGCTGCGGTCCCCCTCCCTGAAAGCAGACTCCTTTGCTTTCCTGAGCTGCCGGAGTTTAGCAGTGAACCAGGGTTTGTCGTTGTTATAGATGACCCTGGTCCTTGTTGGAATGATGCTATCCTCACAGAAGTGAATGTATGACGTCACAGTGTCCGTATATTCATCCAAACTATCTGTGGCAGCTCTGAAAAGGTCCCAGTCTGTAGATTCCATGCATGCGTGCAGCTCTTCCACAGCTTCATCAGACCACACTTTGGAGCTCCTCACTGCAGGTTTCGAGAGCTTTAGTCTCTGTCTGTAAGCAGGAACCAGATGTATCATGGAGTGATCTGAGAAGCCGAGGGCTGGCTTGGGAACAGACCGCGGTGAAGTTAGTTTGAAGTTGGATATCCGACAGACATTCGCCGCAACATTTAAGTGCACCCGTACTACACACAGTACGGTAAACACGCGGAGACATGTACGCTGGTCTAATATTTACATATAAAAAAATCATTAAAAATACTTAAAACACTTTAATGATCAAAGAAGAGGTGTACCCCCTGCAGCTAGTGGAGGACTATGATCCTGACCTGATTTGGAGTCAATAGGTCACATGACCTGGAAGCTATTGAGCAGAGAGAGGAGACGCGAGCCATGAGAGAGAGAGACGCGAGCAGAGAGAGAGAGACGTGAGCAGAGAGAGAGACGCGAGCAGAGAGAGACGTGAGCAGAGAGAGAGAGACGTGAGCAGAGAGAGAGAGAGAGGTGAGCAGAGAGAGAGACGTGAGCAGAGAGAGAGAGACGCGAGCAGAGAGAGAGAGCAGAGAGAGAGAGACGCGAGCAGAGAGAGAGAGACGTGAGCAGAGAGAGAGAGACGCGAGCAGAGAGAGAGAGAGCAGAGAGAGAGAGACGCGAGCAGAGAGAGAGACGTGAGCAGAGAGAGAGAGACGCGAGCAGAGAGAGAGAGAGCGAGCAGAGAGAGACGTGAGCAGAGAGAGAGAGACGTGAGCAGAGAGAGAGAGACGCGAGCAGAGAGAGAGAGAGACGAGCAGAGAGAGAGAGACGTGAGCAGAGAGAGAGAGACGCGAGCAGAGAGAGACGTGAGCAGAGAGAGAGAGACGCGAGCAGAGAGAGACGTGAGCAGAGAGAGAGAGACGTGAGCAGAGAGAGAGAGACGTGAGCAGAGAGAGACGTGAGCAGAGAGAGACGTGAGCAGAGAGAGAGAGACGTGAGCAGAGAGAGAGACGCGAGCAGAGAGAGAGAGCGTGAGCAGAGAGAGAGAGAGAGGCGAGCAGAGAGAGACGTGAGCAGAGAGAGAGACGCGAGCAGAGAGAGAGAGAGAGAGCGTGAGCAGAGAGAGAGACGCGAGCAGAGAGAGACGTGAGCAGAGAGAGAGAGAGAGAGCGTGAGCAGAGAGAGAGAGAGCGAGCAGAGAGAGAGAGACGTGAGCAGAGAGAGAGAGACGCGAGCAGAGAGAGAGACGTGAGCAGAGAGAGAGAGACGCGAGCAGAGAGAGAGAGACGTGAGCAGAGAGAGAGACGCGAGCAGAGAGAGAGAGACGCGAGCAGAGAGAGAGAGACGCGAGCAGAGAGAGAGAGACGCGAGCAGAGAGAGAGAGACGCGAGCAGAGAGAGAGAGACGTGAGCAGAGAGAGAGACGCGAGCAGAGAGAGAGACGGAGCAGAGAGAGAGAGACGCGAGCAGAGAGAAGACGCGAGCAGAGAGAGAGGCACGAGCAAGAGGAGAGACGCGAGCAGAGGAGAGAAGAGAGACGCGAGCAGAGAGAGAGACGCGAGCAGAGAGAAGAGAGACGCGAGCAGAAGAGAGAGACGCGAGCAGAGAGAGAGACGCGAGCAGAGAGAGAGAGACGCGAGCAAGAGAGAGAGACGCGAGCAGAGAGAGAGAGACGCGAGCAGAGAGAGAGAGACGCGAGCAAGAGAGAGAGACGCGAGTCCGCGAGTCTATGGTCCGCGCTCGGAGCCCAGACGGCAGTGCGTTCACCTGGAGCGGAGGAGGTAACGTATCGTGCGATTAATATCAGAACACGTATCACAATATTTAATGTATA